GGGGGAGGATTATAAATTGAAAATATTTTTTTTAACAAAGCTTTAAATTTATTTTTTTAAAAATAAATTGTAATTTGAAGTTGGAGAAGAATTTTGGAAAATGTTTTCCTTAATTTTTTTTTAAGGGAAGTCATTTTCCTTTAGATTTGAGGAAAACATTTTCCAAAACATTTAACCCAACCAAACATGAGAAAATTGGAAAACATTTTCCGGATACTGTTTTCCTTCATACCAAACACACCCTAGGTGTTACTCCACCTCTTATACTACTTCTTATACTACCAATTAATAGAATGTTTTATGAAGGAGTAAATTAAACACTTTTGCTCAATACAAAAAAGTTTTTGTTTTATTGGTCTTTGGTTATGAGGATAATTGATGTGTATTCCATTTCCTTTGCCCCTAATGATTTCTTGAAGCTCTTGAGCTGAATATTTCATTTTCTTATAAATTGCAGGTTCCAATTTAAGTAGTTGCTGAGGCCATCGATTACTACAGTTGAATGAAGTCCTAGGTTCAGTGTTTCCTTCAAATGTTTTGTAACTAACTACTAGTTTAAATGATGAAAGTTCTATTATTTTTCAAAACCACTCCATTGTGGCATTAATTATTGATGCTAAGTTCTATGAAACAAGAAAAGAACGTTGCTATATCACGATATTCGGATAAAGATTTTCTAATGTCTTAAGCAATACTACAAATAAGATATACAGGAAAAAAGGTGGGAAAGGAGAATTTACCTTATCTTTGTTTCATATATACTCCCTCCGTTTCAATTTGATTGCTTGGTTTTAAGAAATAATGAAAAATAAATTGAAACAGAGGGAGTATATATATATATATATATCTTCTGATCCATTGTCTATTTGACAACAGGTGGTTAATTTTGTATCATAGAAAGTTATTTCTATGAATACCGATACTTTGAAAATTGTTTCTTTAGGCATTTATATTTTTGATATGAAACAAGTTTCACCTTTGTATATTATTTCTATACCATTTTTTCCAATGCTATAGTCTTCTAATTTATTAAGGAATAAATTCCCTAAGATTATTTCTTGATCACTGTCGTGATTGGTAATATAACAAGGAACTGTTATTCTTATAGTATCTAGTTGTATAGGTAAATTTACCATATTTTTACAACTAAAGTTATTACCTTCACAGGTTTTGTAGGTATAATGCTCTCCCTCGATAATTGGTAATCCATCTATTAGAACACCTTTCACGTGGTTAGCAGTTGCTCCTGTTTGTATCAAGATCTCTTGATTTTTCCATTCTGTTCCGTTGAAAATTCTTCCATTTATTTTTGTTATATTTGTAGTTTCAATTTTTGGCGAGTATCTGTTAGATATACTCTTTCTTATTGAGTTTCTACCATATTCTATTGACAGTGCAAACTTAATGCGTCATTAAAATCAGCATCTTTGAGTGATATGCAATATTTTGGATAATATGTAAACAAGAGTTTTGTATAGGCTAGGTTTCCCTCTACTATACCAAGATTTCCTTCTCTTGCATTTATGAATCTTTCGTCCGATAAGTTTATCACTATTGGACAGTTGATTCCTTCTTTAAAAGTCGATTTGACTAGTATTTGGATTCCTCCTAAATGAACATAGTTCATTTTCTTTCTTTTTCTTTCAGGAATTTTCCTAAGAATTTGATCGATCATGGGTTTTGTTAACAGGTTTAATTTATGTTTTCCTGTTGTTTGGGTAATTTCTATTACCTTTTCAATTTCTTGATATTCATGATAAGAAATTTTATCTCTTGCAAACATTCTTTGCATCCTGCTTAGTATATTATCTTCTACCTTGAGATTCAATTTTAATCCTTGGATTTTTCTGAAAGTTTCTCCATCGAAGGTGGCTTTTAAAGCATATCCTCGATGATCTTCTTCTGTTTCTAGGATTTGAACAGAATCTTCTCTTTCTTGAATTTCTTTATTCATTCAGAATCTTCTGAACTACTTGAATACTCTTCATAGATTTCTTCAAAGAAATCTTCACTTTCTATAGATCTTATTGATTCAAGATCAGAATCAATTTCTATTCTATCAATTTTTGAGATTTTAACTCTTCTTTTGTTACATTCGTAACTTTTGTGGCCTTCTTCTCCACAGTTGTAGCATTTGCATTTATCAGTAGGTTTGGTTTTTAAGAAGTCATTTTTCTTTTTATAGTATTTTTTTCTAGGTACATACTTCTGTTTTGAGAAGTTTTTTCTTTTTATTAATCCTTTTTTTAGATTGTTTTCTTTTTTGTAAGGTCTATCATCACATCCCCATTGAGTAGATGCTTTAGTATCTTTACAATAAATTTGTGTATTAATTCTTTTAGCCTTTCTTTGGATGTTATGAGACATGCAAAGTTGACCAAGTCTATTTTTTAGGAAATTTATCCTTTGTCCTCGAGTATCTCCTTTTTTTCTTCTTTTTCATATTCTTCTCTGAAGTATTTTGCCCAGAAACCTGGTAATTTTTGATAGTATTTTTCTAGATAAGGTAACATTTCCTTACTGCTATCGAATACTTTATAGTAATATTCTTCGAATTCACATGTATATTCTTGAATATAACTCATCTTACAAATTTGTAACTTTTCTAACTGCTCTTTTGCAATTGTTCTTTCGAATTCTTTATTATCTTTTTCATTTCCTTTTCCTCCAAAGAATTCGTTTTTGATTATCTTTGAACTGAATTCTTTAGTCCTTCTAAGGTATCATTTTTGATTATTTTTTCTGCATCTTCAGTTAATCCTGAAAACCAGTCATGAACTTTTCCCATGAATGTGTTTATCATAATGATGTATTTTTCTTCATCTGTATAATTTCTTTTTCCTAAAAGAAAGTAAAGGAGCATATTTTGAGACCAAAGGTCTAAGCTACTTTCTGGATCTCTTTTACATTGGAGATCTAAGAATTGTGCTCCAATATCTCCTGTTGGGAGTCTATTTGGCATGAATTTTGATTTATCATTGTTATGATAATTTTTTGTATAATCTTCTTTCTTTCTTGCTTTATTAGCATAATTTTTATCATCATTTTCTGGTTCTTGCCATTCTTGTTTCATTGAGGTGGATGCCTCGAATTTTCCTTGGGGTCCTCCTGTTTCCCCTTTGTTCATGAAAACATTTAATTTTTCTGAAAGTTTGAGATCTTCCAACGAATAAACTAATTCATCTAGCTCATTCATCTTTTTGATCTTCTTTTATTTCAGAATTTTCTTCATTTTTTAATTTTGGA